GACTCCAAACAAACACCAACACGGAGGAACCGAGTAAAATGTTACTGGTGCCAAAAGCTTGGACACATGCAATGGGATTGTAGACTAGGGATGTCCTCTCCATCTAGGGATCGTTCCCAAAGCTTTTGGAGGTACAGAGACGCTAGTCCTAATCATCGACTTGGAAACCTGCATGAGAAGAACACTAGTCCAGCTGTGAGTAGAACGGGCCTGGTCGTTGATGACAAGTGGACTACGAAACAAATGAGTGAAGATCAGGAAGCAGACCAGGACATCGGGCAGATTCTCCATCTTAAAGAAAATGATGAATATAGGCCAGAAGGGAGGGAAGTGTCAAACAAGAGCTTGATTTACAAAGCGTTGTGGGCCCAGTGGAACTTTCTGGCCGTAGAAAATGGTTTGCTCAAAAGGATTGGGCAATGGTTTGCTCAAAAGATGGGCACTTGCCCATGGGAAATCCACTAAGAGCCAACTGGTTATCCCAAAAGACCGAGTGGAAGATGTATTAAAACAAATACACGACGGAACTTCAGGGGCACATTTGGGAGTTAACAAGGCTTTGGACAAAATTCGGGAATGTTTTTACTGGGTTCACTACCATGAAGACGTTAAAATCTGGTGCCGAAAATGCGACATCTGTGCTACTAGTAAAGGCCCTAAACTAAGATCTCGGGGGCCCATGAAACAGTACAACGTCGGTCTTCCATTTGAAAGAATAGCGATAGATGTAGCCGGACCGTTCCCAGAGTCAGAGCGTGGTAACAAATACATCTTAGTTATCATGGATTACTTCAGTAAATGGCAAGTTTTCGCTATTCCCAATCAAGAAGCCATCACTGTTGCCCAAGTGTTCATCCACTAACTTTTTGGTCGTCATGGTGTGCCACTAGAGTTACATTCAGACCAGGGACGAAACTTCGAATCTGCCATCTTTAAGAAAATGTGTGAGATCATGGGCATTCGTAAGACAAGGACAACTCCTTTACATCCACAGTCTGATGGCATGGTAGAACGATTCAATAAGACCATAGAGGAACACCTGACAAAAGTGGTCGCAAGGAACCAGCGCTTACAGAGCAGCTGTTCACGAGTCAACAGGTGAAAGTCCAGCCAGAATCGTTTTTGGAAGAGAACTTAGGTTACCTTGCGATCTGATGTTTGGGATACCTGAAGAAGAACGAAAATAAACTCGAGACTATGCCGACGAAGTAAGGGCACGACTTCTGGGTATCCATGATTTTGCTCGGGAGCATATTCAACTAGCCAGTGACCGGATGAAGACCAGATACGACCTGAAAGCCAATTCAGCCGGATTTCAAGAAGGTGATTTGGTGTGGCTGTATAATCCAGCTAGAAAGAAAGAAGTATCGCCGAAATTGTCTTCAGCATGGGAAGGACCCTACAAAATAATCAAGAGGATCAATGATTTGGTTTATCGAGTCCAACGCAACACCAGGAGTAAGATGAAAGTTGTACATCTGGACAGGTTAACGAAATATCATGGGCGTGAAGTTGATCGGGACGATCAACCTTAAGAGGAGGGCAGTGCAACGGCCGCCAGTGTGTCAAGAATCCTGTACAGAATTGCATAGCAGATTCGAGATTTTACGTTGATGTTCGGGAACAAGGTCGATCGCAGTTCTTCTGGAATTTACAGGAATAAATTGCGGCTATATATAAGGACGGGTTTTAGCTTGTAAGTTAAGTTTCAGTTCGACTGTGATACGATTTAAATAGTGATTATTGTTGTAAAGAGTTTAATTGTTAAGTTTGTTATTAAAGTAATTAGTGTCAGAGTGTATTGTTAGGTGGAATAAATTATTGCTGTGTTAATTGGACTTTGATTTTTGGAATAAACGAAACGAACCCAAGATTTCTGTCCGGCAATCCAAAGCCGTGACAATATTCTTTTCTATGTAGCATTTATGCTAAAAGAACGATCATTTCAGTCCATTTCATATAAATCTCAAGTTAGAAGAATTGTGCATAATCTTGCAACACCCCCCGATCTTCGGATAGGAGAGGAGAGGTTAGTAAAAAATATAGTCAATCCATTTGAAGGTGGCTTGGGTGAATCGCTCGGTGAATCGTGAGATATTACTTTTGAAAAATTCAACCTACATATAGGTAGGTTTGATTTTCCGTTCTTGGGAATATGATTGAAATATCTTACAATGTCAAGTTGATGGAGACAACTTTGAAGTATTTTACAAAAAAATATTCAAGTCGATTTATTTCAAAGCATTAGTATCGAGAAAATCGATTATTAAGAGTTGAAAGTTATTGGACTTTTCTTCTGAGGAATATACGACGATAAACTGATGTTTGCCAGTCAAAATACTTATAGATCAACAAATTTTAGGTACGTCACTCCCCAATACCTATTTATGTCTTATCTCAGCTTTCAAAATATTGTTACAGGGTAATTTCTTTTCAAAACGCTTACTTATATCTCACAAACCGTGATAGAAACAAGATTTGATCCCAATTAAAGGTTGTACAGAATTAAATTCTATACAATCAAAAAATTGGGAAAATCCATAGAACCCAAAAATTCCATGTTAAAAATGTTAGTAGAAATTCTTTTACTAATTGAGTTATTCCTCTAAAAAAACCAAGATTAGAAAAGTAGTAAAATTTGGTTTTCAAAACATCGCACATATTAGCGATTACTTTTCGTTTCAGGAAAAACTGTTGAAAATCATTTTTTTTTTTAAATTCGTATAGAGCGAGTACATGTATTTATAAGGAAAGATTTGAAGGTTGTCGAAGGTTTTGAATATACTACAAGAAAAGTCGATCGATTTAAAAACGTTCGAGAAAGGTAGGTATATAAAATACACTTTTTTGGGGAATATGGTCTGAGTATTAATAAAAGTTCCCCTGCAGGCTTTAGAGTGTTCAAGAAATCATCAATTCCCATATAGCCAAATAATATTTTTTGAAGCTTCAAAAAATATTTTTTTTCGGATCAAGTATATTTTTAAAACATCCAAATATCCATAAAACATATTTTTAGGACATTTTTTGAACATTCTGCGGTAACGAATCGATATTTTTTGAATATTCTTGAGATATTTTTCAAATGTATTAGGAATATTTTTAGAAAGTATGAAAATGTTTTTTGAACATCATCATCGAAAAAAAAAAAATGCGGATTCAGAAACGATGTACCTATTGAAAATGTTTCTATCTGTATGATATTTTTGAGAATGTTTTAAAAACATTTTTAAAATATCCAAATATATTTTTAAAACGTCTTTTGGATATTTTGTGGAACATTAAAAAGAAAAAATATAAATAAAATATGGGTATTAGGTAATTAAAACTCAGAATGAAACTCAGAAATATTTTTATTTGTACATATGCACCTGATTCAAGTTATTGCTGCAAGCTGCATCTGCCTGGTTATGGTTTATTGCCCCTCGAGCTGTGCCTGCTTTCCACAGCTCCTTTCTTCTTCCTGCAATAAAAAGTAATTTGAATGACAATAATTTATCAATATCATTTTTATAGATACAGGGTTTTCCAACGAGGATTGATCAAAGGCTTCTTTTTCACTCATCTGAATTATTGAGAAAATCTAAAATACCTATCTCATGTATTTTTTCCTGCAGAATCCAATTATTGTATCAAAAAACCTTTGAACCAAAAACAAAAGACACGCTATGGATGATGGCTATTTTGGATTTTCACAAAAATACAGGGAGATTCAAAAATAAGCTCCTCCTTGGAAAACCCTGACATAAATACCACTTACCGTGAACCCCAATCGAAATCCCAATTATTCTCAGAGCCAAATAACTCACACTCGCACACAAACGTCACAAAACAGAAGCAAAAGTTGGAAAAAAAAATACAACGGAATCAAATACTCAAAATAAATCAAATATCGACTATGTCAGTACACTTCTAAGCCTAAAACCCAACCTTCACGCCGGTTCCAGCAACGTCGACCACCTCAAAAAAATAGTACAAATCTACAACAGTGTTGCCAGTACTTCTTTTATAATTGGAAGCTTTCATGGGTTTCAGTATGGCCATTTTTACTCTACTGTTACAGTGGTTACTAGCTGACAACACTGCGAATGAATTCAACCGATAGCAGGTAGATGTATGGCGCCGGCGCCTAGACTAGACACAGCAAACTGGCGATTGTGTGTTTGTCGAAAGGTTTTTCTAAATGTAGATTGATAGGGGTGAAATATCTGTACATATTTATTATTTAAGTAGCCAGAGTCAAAAAAGCCAAGGTGCATTTCATTTTCCTTGACAACACTGAGTGTTTCTCTAAGTAGAGAATATCTCTATACTTACCTATTTTTTTGAATAAAAATTGATATATTTTAGTGAAGTTCGTCTCTCTTTTATCAGACTCTAGAGATCGAATGTTTGAAAAATGTTCAGCAAATGTAGAGAAAAAAATATTCTTTTGATCATGTTTTTATGATGTTCAAAAAATATCCATTAAAACATATTATTTTGGATATGTTTGTAAAACTAATGTTTTTTTTGAGTACATTTTAAAAACATTTTTTGAACATTTCCAAACCAATGTTTGGTCACAAATGTTGTTTGAATCTTTTAAAAATATTTTATTAGCGTTGTTCAGAAAATATCCACTATTGGATCAAAAAAAAATGTTCCAAAAATATTTTGTGCTATATGGGTTATTGTCAACCTAAAATACAATCATTATCATCAAACGCCGAAATGTTTGAAGAAATTAGAACGGTTTCTTAGTATGTTGACCATAATTTTTCGTTTTTATTGTAGAATAAAATATTTAGCATCTTCAGACTTTAAGATTATTGAAAATGGTTTATACGTTTATAAACCTATTAAGTGATTAATTTTTAAATTTTTTCAAAATAATTTTATTTTTATTATTACCTATATTGATTGAAATCTACAAAAGTAAATTTACATTTGAAAAAATATGTCCGCGCCATCCTCATCTAATATCTCTATACAATTTATTGCTAAAAAATGGACCTTACCGTCACAGAAAGATATTTTCTAATTTTTGCGTGCAAAAAGGCCCGCTTTGCTTCTTCACTGAACACAAAAATGCCACATTTAACCTCGACTGAACAAATCCTGCACCATTTTCCAATATCCATTTTTATTAAAACTACATTTGAGTATTGGAATCTGGTTCGATCGGGCAGCGACTCTAATTAGATATACAGAACATAAAAAAGAACTATACCCACCGTCCTTTAATAGAGATCATTGCGCACACACTCGATAGGTACAATTCATGAAAATTTATGCTTTTTTATGTTTGAAATAACCGATTTGCACTATGTTTTATTTCCAATTGAAAAACTCCTCCAGGAATCCGCTACATTTCACTATCGTTAACCGCACTTTTTTTCGGGAATTTATTTTTTTCTTTTAAAGCAATCGGGAAATTTATAAAATACTTCAAGTGATACATTTTCCGATTGGCATACGTCAAAAGACACGTGCACATTCTTCGCGCCATTGTACACGGAGGGGATGGTTTTCCCGGGCGCGGACGCAGAAAACTCGTGATTTCAAAGGGATTTGGCCTTTTAAAATCAATATGGGTCTGGGGATTGCTTGCTATATGACGCAAGAGCGCCATTATCGTCTATTTTTATTCCACTAATCAATACAACAGGCGCGATTTACACCCTCACATTTTGATTTCCTAATTCTGCTCCTGGAGGAAACCAGAGTTATTTGTGCAATGTTGGCATAAACGGGATTCACCTCCTAAAGTTTCGTGATTTTGTAACTTTTCCGTCTGCTTTAAATAAAAATTAGTACTGAGCAGAACAATTAAAATATTTTTTATGAGGAAATCGAAAGTCTTTGGAAAATTCACATTGATATTTAAGTTTCCTAGGCTCAGACCTAATAAAATTATCCTCTTCTGCGTATAAAATATAAAAATTGTGGTAGGTATTTAAAGTCAAATGACGCTTGCTCGATTGTGTATCATCAATAAAATAGTTAGATAATGGAATGTTTCACTAAAATTTGAATACGTAATTTAGGCACATAGAAAATTGGAATATCTGGGTCACAATATGAGAAACGGAACCAAATAAAAATTGCAGGAGAAGCATCGGCAGAAGATGAACATACGAATTTTTGGGAACCTGGCTTAAAACATCCACCTCAGGTCTATTGTCTATTCAGAATAGTACCTACCTACCTAACAAATAAAAAATAAAATTATTATTGCTAGAATGATTGCCAACATTCGGTAACGGATAGGTACTGGGAGGAGAAAAGGAATTCAAGCATTAATTCTTAAACGAGGGAGTAGTTATTCTAGGCACTACTTTATACCCATATCCTAGCTATTCCAATTGGGTGTTAGTTGGGATAGGTACCTACTGGGTAGTTGCGTTCCTGTTTCCAGGAAACATTCGACTACGTGGAAATATAGGCAGTATTTTGGAATCCCTAGGAAACGCGAGAACGGATTCAGGATACGCGAACATCATGAAGAATATACAGTGTGTCCATAAGGATGACGTAGTATTAGGATCTGGAAAACGGTTGGAGTTACAATGCTGGTTCGATTAGGAAGAAGTTCCGCAACTTTAATGCTCAATAAAATGGTACTTTTGACATTTAAAAAATTCCGAACACTTTCCGAGGTATTCCGAAAAAAACCGAAACTTTACAAAGTCGATCATATTATTTTTTCTGGGCTTATTTGAGGAGATATTTCAAAATAAATGTAACTGTACAAGCAGATGACATTATCAATTTCAACTTTGACGTTTCGTCTTTGAGCCACCAACTTAATATTTTTAAATACGGACCCTTATTTTTTATTTTAGATTTTATAAGCTTCTGACATCTGACATCCCAAAACTAATGACGTATTGCACTTATTCGAAAAATTTATATTATTGGTGCTTTCCATAAGATCTAAATTTTTTAGAGAGAGACAGAGATGAGAATTTTGGTAGGAAATTACCAACAAGTAGAAAAACATTTTTTTCGAATGAATGCTACGTCATAGGTTTTGGGACATCAGAAGCTTTTAAAATCTGAAGTAGAAAATCAAGGGCCGTATTTAAAAAAATGAAGTTGATGATGGTGGCCCAAAGAAGAAACGTTAGATTTTACATTTGAAAATATCATCTTGTAGAGTAGAAAAAGTTGTTACCATGAAGTGATATTTATTTTGAAATATCTTGCCAAATAAGCTCAGAAAAAAATAAAATCGATTTTACGGTTTTCTCCAGATATCTCGGAAAGTGTTCGGAATTTTTTAAATGTCAAAGTACCATTTTATTGAGCACTAAATTGCGCAACTTTTTCCTAGCCTAACGAATATTGTAACTCCAACCGTTATCCAGATCCTAATGCTATCCCATCTTTATCTTGGACACACTGTATATTCTTCATGAAGTTCGCGTATCCTGAGGATTTTGATACAGTATCCGCCAAAATAAACAGTACCGAAATCTAGAGCTCTGGGTAATTGCGCACGCAAGTTGCAATCATCATATTTCGTGAACATATACCCATGATACAAATTATTAAATGATATGATTTGTATGCTCGGTACTGTTTATTTTGGCGGATACTGTACAGAGATAAATACTATATAAACTGTCGAGAATGGAATCTCAGTGTAAATTTTGAGCCTAGCCAGCGCCATCTACCATATCGGAAAATCACTATTTACTGGTTTTACATCGATGCTAGAGACACCTACTTTACATAGGACTTTTTATGATAGATGTCGCCATGTTCGCATTACTCTCGGTTTGTTCAAATTCGTTTATTCTAGACTTTGGGGCATCAATGTTTCCTTAAATTGATTGATAATTTATTAATTAGATCAAAAGGCAGTTTCTTTATCAATGGTTAAGGATATACTTAACATATTTATTCAAAGTTCTGATTGATGTTGAATTGAACCTGTCATTTATCTAATCAACAAAGATAAAAATAGATCTTCCAATCTATAAAGTTTGAAATTCTTCTTGAAACACACAAAACAACTTTGAAATCACTTAAGAACACTTGACAACACAAAGAAAGATGAAATACAAGACCGACGAACAAAAAACATTATGAATTATTAGTTATGATGAATATTTTGGCATATTGTCATATGTTGACATGTCAGTTATCGACATCGGACGTGTTCTTGATGTGCTGGTATTTTACAATTTTGAAAATTCTGTGGTTGTCAGCGACATCTAGAAAATCGGAAAAGAGTTATTATGTGGTTTATAACTGGCAATGAGAGATCGCAGGGCTTGATACTGTATTTCACATCGTTAAGGTTAAGGCCGTTTTACAGCTTGCAAGAAAACTTGAATGCAATTTTTTGCATGCAAAAAAATTCCATTCAAGATTTCTTGCACGTCGTTTTACACCTTGCAATTTGACTTTCTTTCTCTCTAACCTTAACTATACTGTTTTGTTTGTAATAACTTTGTGTTGTTGATGTTAGAAGTTTGTATCACTTTGTATTTTACGAGGATATTTTCCAAAAATGAAAAAAGTGATTAGTAGATATAACAAAAAAAAAGCAATAGCAGCCACTTTAAGCATAATAATTGCTACAGCTATGTTTTTGGCTAATGGTCAAGAAAGGAAAGAACGAAGGTGGTGGGTGAGACCCTGGTTGAACCAGTCAAGAGGTAATATTGGATTAACAAATGAGTTCAAAGAGGAAGATAATGAGAAATATAGAATTTTTTTAAGAATGGGTCAAAACTCATTCGATAAGCTGATGAACAAAATTAAACAGAGGATTACCAAGAATTCCATATTTCGGCAAACAATTTCAGCACAGGACAAGTTAATAATTACTTTGCGATATCTAGCTACAGGTGAAAGCTTCAGGAGTTTGATGTATAACTATCGAATCTCTGAAAGTAGTAGGTATATCGTCATATTTATACCATCTGTGAAGTAATTTATGAGGAACTAAGGGATGAATATTCACAGATAGGGTATTTTTATTGAGGTACCCAATTGAAACAAAATAAATATCATGCGTAAAAATTCAATTTTCAAGAATATTGCTTTGTAGGTTCCGACAACAGCAGCAGAGTGGCTAAAGATAGCACGAGACTTTGAAACATCATGGAACGTCCCAAATGTTTTAGGTGCCCTTGATGGAAAACATATCGTTAATGAAGCTCCAAAAGACCAAGAGATATATAAATTCACCTACAAAAATGTAGGAATGAATGGTAGACTATCAGATGGTGAAGTCTTTTGGGAAAGCGATCTATCTCGAGCACTTGCCAATAATTCTTTGAATTTTCCTGAAGACAGACCTTTATCTGGAAGACAAATACCAATGCCTTTTGTTATGCTCGCTGATGCGGCTTTCTCACTTTCAACTTATATTTTGAAACCTTACCCTCTGCGCAATATGACTAAAGAACAGAGAATTTTCAATTATCGGTTAAGCAGAGCTCGTCGTTTAGTTGAAAATGGTTTTGGAACATTGGCGAATCGATTTCGTGTGCTGCTTAACACAATACCTCTCAGACCAGAAAAGGCCAAACTAATAACACAAGCATGTTGTGTTTTGCATAATTTCCTGAAAGAAGAAACTGGAATTGCGTAGGTATGTGGGAAATCATCCAGATGAGGAATTAGACAGGTAGTACAGATTTAGATTTGGACTAAGTAGGAATAATTTTGGAAGACCAAGAAATGAAGCACTGAGTATAAGAGAAGAGTTTAAAGATTATTTTAATGAGGTTGTAAGTATGCCATGGCAAGAGGAATATAACTAAAGATTCTAAAGTTGGACAGTAACATGCTCATCATATGGTGGAAGCTGTATAGTTAGGCATACTTTACAGATAATTAGTGGCTTTATATTATCATTTTAAGTGTATATTAAATATTTTAGCAAAACAAGACTTTATTCTCTATTTCTTTCTAAAAACTAAAATATAATATGTACTATTTTATTCGTCGACCACTTGTTTTTTCTGCCTATGAGTTTTTTTCGCCCTGAAAAGGCATTGACAAATAGCCTCTTGAAGGTTGTCTACAACCACTTCGTCGTTCAGCGAATCCATTTCTTTTCCTAGCCACCTGGAACAAAAAATAAATTTTAGCACAAACAAAAAATTAAAAATGATTTTTGTTTTTAAAATTCTTACATTTAAAATTGCATATTTGCTGACTGCGTTTCTTCATGTGGCTTATCATTCAAACTTGAAGTGAACTGCTTCAAGGTAGATTTTGCCTCATTGAGAAGATTGTAAGCTTCCTGTTTTTTTTTTTTTTTTTTTTCTTCCTCGCTTAATTGGTGGGCTGGTATCTAAAAGTCTTGACTTTGGTGAAACTAACTCCATTTGTACGACCTTATCAAGATTTTCTATGTCTCCATCATATATTATTTCAACTTCTGACTGAAAATAAACAATAAATAAATAAGCCACATCATGAAATAATAATAATCTTGCATAATTTTAAAAAATCTATAGATTTCTACTTTACTTCGTCCATAAGTTTAGGGTCATTTTCTTTCTCAGAATCATCTAGAGTTTCTTTCGGACCTGATAATTGACTGAAGCTTTGTAGTTGAGATGGCATGTTTGACTCTCCTTTGGCTACCACAGTGGCTTCTCGGTATAGAAAATTTAGAATTTCAAAGCACCATAACTTCGGTGAATAGACTTCATCCAATCCTGCTCCAGAGGTTTCACTTTTTTAAATTTTCTGTAGTTCAGCCAAATACTGTGTGCGAATACCATGCAATTTTTTCTTAATTTCTGCTTTAGTTAAATTTGTCAACTTTCGTTGGTTGAAGACACCAGTGATAGTTTCAAGGGCTTGCACTGTTACATTCCTATTATGGTAATGTAATGTTGGTGGGTTGGACGGGTTGGTTGATAAAGGCAAGGGTGCTTCTCATACAACTCGATTAGAAGAGACGCTGCCTCCCTAGGCCAATCATATACACCACTAAAATAGTAGATT